TACACCATAGCCCCAGCGTCTTGTTGCAGCGTACATAGCCATACCCTCCCCTCTAGTGTCAATACATGCCTGCACTGTCATATGCCCTGCTGTTCCTTAGCTCCAAGCCAAGCGTCTTGTCGTTTCTGAGTGGCATTGTTGCCGAACCAGAAGCGAGCCCACTGCTACTCCCGTTGCCCTACAAACACACTGAAGCCTGACAGGATCTTCATGCTCCGCATCACCACCGCGATCGGGGGACGGGCACAAACAGGGCAGTGCTGCCGGGAACCACGCCAAAGCAGGGGTTTGGAGGGTCTTTCCGGCCCCGTCATTCCCGCGTTCTCGTTCGTGTTGTGGGTTCTCCTCCAACCCTCCCTATTCGGGGTCTAGGTAGCCCTAGCCCGCGGCGCTTCTGCCATGGCTCACAACTGCCAGTTTTCTGCTCGCACCTCTGGGTCCTGGCTGGCTTGTGATGGCAGACGATGCCACGCTCTAAATGCTGTTTCGGCCCCTGGCGCGACGACTAGACGACTGCTCTGACCACTGGGACTGCTTTGATGCCACTCATTATTGTGTGTCTCCTTGGATTCCCCACGGAGAGACCAATGATGGGCTGTTCTGGTTATGCTGCCCCTGATGTATGTCCCATAGCTGACACCGCGGACGCAAAACGTATTCTTGGGAGATGCCCGGCCGAGATGATGGAGTCTGTTATGCTGCACTGATGTATGTCTGGCAGCCGAATACATGCTCCACTGAACGCGAGTCTGGAAGCACAGAGCCTTCGTTGTGCATGCATGGAATTTGGGCTATGCTTTCTGCATACCACGGCTTACACCAAACTGACTGCAGCAATCTGGGTGATGCATTGAATTTGGATGCATACGATACAGCGTGAAGGGCCTCTGCCCTGTGGTGTCTACTGACTGGAGTGCCGATGCTGGGCCGTTTTTCCTTGCATCGCTGTCGAGCCTACAACCAGAGGAACGTACCAGTCTGGACGCTTAGACGTACAACGCGCATGAACGGAATTTGAGAATTTGAATGCATGTGCAACTGCATGAAGCTGTCGAGCCCTCATCAGCAAGTGGCAACGGTCTGGACATTTGGGCGTCCAACGAGCATGAATGGATTGGGAATTTGTGTGCATGTGTTGCTGCATGTATGGCATTTTGCCAGTGGGGCCAACTGGACTGAGGATGCCGTGATTTCTGTGTTGATGAGTTCACAGTTTGAGGATGATGCGAATAGCTGCAGGATGCAGGTTGAGGTTGATCGTAGCGCGGATAATGTTTGCTGTCGTCAATGTATGATGGCTTGGGCCACATGTGCCTGTCGTGGGACCAGGGAACCTCGCCAAGGCTTGTCCGAGTGTGAGTGCTGAAACTCTAAACCCTAAACCCTAAACCCTAAACCCTTTCAGGGTTTCCGAAGGGGTTTCAAGTTGTCTAGAATCTAGGGTTGTTTCCTTAAGGCTTCCGGTTTTGGGCAGGGTCTTCATGCTTCGAGGTTTAGGGTTTAGTTTTCACTTGAGTCCAGTTCAGCAGGATTTGATGTGCGTAGCTCCTTCTGCGAGGTCTTAGATCCAGTTTGGCTGAGCTTGGGCCCCCATGCCCGGCGGCTGGTCAGTGACTTGAAGGGAGTGCGGAGGCTTCAGACGGAACTCTTGCGCAGTGATGCTGTGGAGTTCCATCGCATGCTGGAGAATTTGTGCACTTCCGGAGATGCTGGGAACCCAGGCAGAGCTCCAGTTTGGTTGCAGAGCCACGACGCCCAGTCTTGCCTCAGGTTGGCTAAACAATGTGTATACGAGATTCGTCCAAGCCTGGACGGCTCAGGGCAGGTCTTGCAGTGGAACGTGCGACCTCACGCCAAGTGGGCCAAGATCCTTGAGGCAGTTGACCGCACATTGCAAGATGTGGCCGAAAGAGCTGAGCCCGGTCCGGAGCTCCCGAAGCCTCAAAAGGTGGGGAGCTTCGAGTTCGGCTCCCTGAACATGGCCACTCAGATCAGTTTGGATTTGGATGACAGCGACATTGAGATCACGGTGCAACCCGTGGTCAAGCGAGCCCGCACTCTGCCTGATGCAGCTTTAAACGTGGTGGAGCCGCGAGTTCTCATCATCGCCCCGGACGATCGCTCGCGGCGTCAGTTGTCCAGTTTGCTTCACCGCGGCCCGGAGGCGACTCTGCTGGATGGTCTGGACAGGTACCTGCGCGACCGCAGCGACCGCTCCAGGGGACGGGATGTCCCAAGTGGCATTCCACAGAACGAGCTGAGATTCGGCGAGCTGGCGGTGCTAGCTCGCGAGGCGGAGGCTGTTGCCCAAGAGCTGGAGGAGCTACGGCCCTCTAGCACACTTCAGGCTCGGCAGCTCCCAGACGGGCGAATGTGTCACCCGAGAATTGACGTAATCTCCGCAGAAGACACAGAAGGACAGCTGGAGGTGCGCTTGGCAGAGATGCGCCCTCATGCCGTCATTGTCTTCGAGCCCACGCTCCATGCGATTCGGGCCTTGGAAGTCTACTGTGCATCAGCACGGCAAGGTCACGGGGCCTCCATCGTCAAGAGAGAGACGGGCTCAGACACTGCACCAACTCAGCAGGCGCCAGTGGCTTTTCATGTGTACCTCATGGTCTTCGAGGAGTCTGTCGAGAAGTACCGGTTCGAAAAGTGTATGATGCAGGTTGGGACGTCTTTTCTCCTCCTGTTTTCTTCTTGAAGCCATGGCTGTCGCTACAGTAATCATGTGCCGCACTGGTGAATCCAAGCAAGCGGCGTAGGCCTTCCATACAGCTGTTTTATTTACATATATGTACTTATAAAAGGCAATAATATGTTTTTTTTTGGGCTCCGAGCCCGAGACCCTGACGACAGGAAAGCGAGGCGGTGGATTCCCTGATCCGTTCTCGGCAGCACCTGACCTTCAGAAGCCAGGCAACAAAAGTGGGAATTGCGGATACACGAGGAGAACTGCTGAGCAGGGGCGGGATCGGGCTGTACGCCTCGTCTATCGTGATACTGGGCTCTTTCGCTTTTTTCCACATCTTAGTCATGCCCTTATGCAGCCAAGGAGTGGATCCTCCCACAGAGGCGCTTGCCCCGGAATTGTCCTCTCGACGTGGAGGGGGCTCGAGGGCCCTACAAGGCATGACGAAACCCCGTGTGGTCGTAGACATGCGCCCGGGCTGACTTCTGTGCTGCTGGTTGTAGAGGGGCTGAGGCATGAGGCTTCTTGCCAAGACGTTGCAGGGAGAAGGGCAGCGATCCTCGAAAGTCTTGCATTTCTTTAAGACTTGGGAGCTTTTTCCCACCCGAGCGGCTTGAGGCGCGAGTTTCGGTCGACGCTTCCCTTCATGCTGCACCTTCGAGGCCTGGTGGTCGAGCCCGTGACCTGGCGAAAAGAAGCAAAAGGCTTTTTTTCAAAATCTGGTTTGGGCCCTGGGGCTGAGGGCCTCTCAGGTAACCATCCCTGTTGGTGACTATGTGCTCTCGCGGGACATCTGCGTGGAACGCAAGGCCGTGACAGATTTGGTTCAGTCTCTGCAGAGTGGCCGGCTCTACCAACAGGCGCAGAACCTTTGCCACCACTACGACAACCCACTCCTTTTGGTCGAGTTTGATCCAGCCAAGGGGTTCATGCTCCAGAGCACCTACCACATCCAGCGTCGTGAGATCGAAGTTGGGACCAAGGACGTAACTGGCAAGCTTCCTCTGGTCATACTGCACTTCCCCAAGCTGAAGCTCATCTGGAGCCCTTCTCCACGCTTCACGGCGGATATCTTCTTGAAGCTCAAGGAGAGGGTTTCCAAAACCCTTATAGAGCCCTTTAAAGGAATCCTTATAGGTACTCTTGTAGTATCCCTTTGAAGGAACCCTTAGAGGTACTCTTGCAGTATCCCTTTAAAGGAACCCTAACGTAAGGTACCCCTACGTCCCAATTTTCGGAAGCTCCAAGGAGGGAAGGTATCAACCCGACTCCAAGGCAGCTGCCGCGATAGATGCCGAGGACCCTGAGCCTGATGAGGGCAACTGGGCTCTGGTTAGGGGATAGTTTAGGGCTCCTTTAAGGGATCCATAAGGGTTCCTTGAAGGGTTGGGATTTAAGTGACCATAATCAGGAACCGTAATAGATCCCTATTAGGGTAATTGAAATTAACGTCCCTGACAAGAACCCAGGCAAGGTGAAGACTGTCCAGGTGAACACCGCAGCTTTGGAGGTCTTGCGGAAGCTTCCGGGGGTGACCCCTGGGAATATGCATTCCTTGGCTCGGCGTGCTGGCACCCTCGCAGGCATCGCCGACCTTCCCTTGGAAGCCTTGGTGGAGGTCATGGGAAAAAGCAACGCCGAGCAGCTGAACACCTTCCTGCACTCCAGCTGCCTCCCCCCAGCACCCACTCAGGACCAAGGTGTCGAAGAGCAGGTGCCGGAGAGAGAGGAAGAAGAGCAAGCACCGGCTCGGGAGGAAGAGGAGCCGATTGAGGATCCAAGCGGGGAGGAGTGGGAGGCGACGTGTGCAGAGGAACACAGTCCAGAAGTGTGAAACTTCGAGCGAGTGTGCAGGGGTGTAGGGGGCCGGATTCTGGAACCATGGGCGAGACTCTTCTCGAGTGCGCCGCCGGATGCCATCGTGCAGCGAGCTGAGATGGCAATAGGCACCGGACAGACCGGAAAAATATCAGCGGATCCCAGCGTTTACTGAACTAGGTTGAACCTGATTGTTGCAGATGATCACAACTTCTTCTGATGCTCATGCTTCTCGAGTTCCAAATCCAGTAGAGGAGCCCGAAGGGAACAACAAAGAAGAAAGAAAGCATAGTGTGTGGGCATGTTCGGTGTAGCCAGCATCCCCATTCTCTAGACAAAAGCTTCAGAGGCTGCTTCCGGGTCAGTATATGGCGATTCTTTCGCCTCAAGCTCTACCGAGCTTTCCCCAGTCCAACAACCCCACAGTGCGAGCACTGCGCCCCGACCCAAAGTCCGTCCAACATCTTTTTGTCTGCTTGCCGATTGGGCCATGGCATCCACCTTCGCTCGGGCTTTTGCCGCAGGGTCTGCGCCTGAGCTTTGCCAGGCTTGAGTTGTCGTTTTTCGTTTTCTTCGTTGCAGTGGTTGACAGCAGCATTGACATACTCCATCTTGCTACTACTGAGATGTGCATTAACGTCTGTCAGTCTTTGCTTTGTCGCGCAGCAACGAAAAAATTCTGCTGCTGCTTTTAGGCAAGAGCGTAGTTCTCACCTCAGCTTGTGTTGTTACAGTGTTTCGTCATCGGTGGTATCGGACTAGTTCGTCCCGTGATGGCCGCAATACAGAAGCTTACAAACTCCCGCAGCCCGCAAGTACGACATGCTGTCACTACCAACTCCACGAAGCTTTACTTCGGAGCCACCTGCCCAGCACTATCGGCACCACAAGCATGGAACCGCTGCTGCCGCACTAGCACTTAGCCAACCTAATTAGTTAGCTATCTAGCTACCGACCGACCGACGACCGACCTCTTCCTGCCGTCTGGCTGCTGCTTGCCCACCGCCTACCGACCTGGACACCCAGCGGCTAGCGATTTACCTTATATACCGACCTACCCTACCAGACTACCCGTACCCTACCGACCTGCCGACCTCCAACCTACCTCCTTACCTACTTATCAGCTGCTACGGTTTCGTCTTATTAGTCTCATTGCTGCAGTGTCGTCGTGTCTTCTTCCTTCCCTCAGCCTGGGCCAGCAGCAATTCCAACCATGCCTCAGCATCCCCAATCTCATGCGCTTGAGACATCGACTGTGGAATGCAGCTGGTCTGGCCGTTGCTGCTCAGCTTCTGCGCTGCCAGCTACACCTCTTCGTTTCGCCCGCGCTGTCCACAGAATACAGCGCAACACAAGCCTGCCACGGGCAGAATGCTTCACTGAATCGCATTGCAAGAGCAGAGCTAGAGGTGGTTGGGCGACATGTGCAGTGTGCAAAGGGACGCTTTTACTTCGATGCAGTCGGCACTGGCGGCCGTGACGTCGTGAAGGCCCTCTCTGAGGTCCGACACGTCCGAAGCGTCCGGCGCATTGCCATCTCCGTCGAGGTGCGGCGGCCTGGGGACCGGCCAGCATTCTCCGCAAGGCAGCTTGCAGAGGCCATGGACTCCCTTGGCCACTGGGAAGACGTGGAAAGAGACCTGAGAGCTTTGAACGCATCGCGGGTTCGGAGCTGCTGCGTGGTGAGCCGGCAATTTCACCAGCTTGCCCGGCTCGTCACTGCCGATGTGGCCCACGAGCTGCATCGCGAGTTGGCACTTTGTCTGCAGCGCCGTTTCGGCTGGCGTCCTTGTGGCCGGGGTCGCCTCTCGGCCTTTCTTGAGCTCGGAGCCCTGCAGATGCGCCCGGCAACTAAACGTCCAATTTTTTCATTTGGTTCAGTCCTTGAAGCTTCTCCAACTCAGCAGCCTCATGCAAGGCCGGGAATCCTGTACGATTCCTGAAACGAAAACGGGCTTCCCATTCCTACTCATATGGCACAATGAGATACATGGAGGGCAAAAAACCCAGAACCGCGGAAATCCTACGTACGACATCTGCCCCAAAGCTTACAAAAAAAACCCAATATTCTTGAATCTCAACTCCAAGACATGCCCGGGAATATCGAGGCTCGGCAGACCTTGCGCTGCACCTGCACGTGGAGGGCTGCACACTTCGAGTCGAGGTTCCCCTCCTGCAGCAGCGCAAGGCGGCCTGCCATCAGAACTCTCATGAATTCTCCGTTTTCAGTTGTATAAGGGTCATTAAAGTCATTACGGAGGAAGCAGATGCAACACGGAACAAGACGTGGGAGAAGGGTCGGAGCTGAAAGAAGGACAGGGTGAGAGAAGTCCAGCGTAGCGTCTCGAAATACCAGGGCGTCGAGGGAACAACTAGAGCGAATTCCGAGCGTGCTTGTATAGAAACTGTCAGCATTGTAGAAGCAACAAGATCCGGATAGAAACAGGTGTAAGTAAGCAGAGGAAACATGCACACATACATACATACGCGCTATTTACCCACCCACCTACTTACCTGCCTACCTACTTGCTTGCTTGCCTGCCTACCTGCCTGCCTACCTGCCTGCCTACCTGCCTGCCTACCTGCCTACTTGCCCGCCATTGCTCACCTGCCTACTTGCCGACTTGCCTACCTGCCTGCGACCTACTAACTTGCCTGCTTGCCTGCTGGCCTGCCGCCTGCCTGCCTGCCGCCTGCCAGTCTGCCTGCCTGCCTGGATGCGTGCGCACCTACATTCGTATGTAAGAACATGCATCCAGCATGTATGTGTATGCATGCATGTCCAATCCCCAGAAAGTTGCACGACCTTGTGCGAGGGCGGCAAGCCTCACAACCAAACCTTTGCTTGGAACCGAGAGAGTGCCTATCAAGCCTGAAGGCCCTGTTAGCATGCTTATACCATACCGGTGCAACATATGGTGACCCCATCCGCACCAGCAGGAAACAACTAGAAACGCTTGCGCCCGTCGAAAAAAAAAGGCCAAGCTTGGCGGAGGCTTCCCGCACCAGGCACGGTCACGAGTTACCAGCTGTCTTCGGGAGTTGTTCGGCGCGTAGCTAGGAGCTGTTGGTGTTGTATGCTCCCAGCATCGTGTGAGCAGCGCCCGTCCCAGCCCCTGAACCCTGAGGGTATGCACCACGTGGAAGCATGGGCCATTGCAAGAAGCTTGGATGTGCAGCCGGGAGAAACTGTTTTAGATCCCATGTGCGGGAAGGGCACGATCCTTGCAGAGGCAGGTCTGGGCACTTGATCTTGAAGGCTTTCAGGGTGCGGTCTTTCCGACCTCAACGTCTCGTGAGCGTGTGACGCTCCTGCCCAGCTTCCCTGCAGGCAGCTGTGTGGTGGCCCAGGGCGAACTACGTTGGCTGCAACTCAGCAGGATTCGGCTTTCCCATGTTTTCCGTTGTCAAGGATTGATGTGATTGAACGCTTCGGGCAAAATTTTCAGGGGTGCTGTGGCGACATGCAGGCGATGCGGATGCACTTCAACTTGAGCAATGCCGGCGCAATTTCGCATGGCTAGAGCAACTTGCCACAGCTCTGGCTAATGGCATTTTCCCGATTCAATGTTTTTTCCTCGTGTTGCTCGCCCTGCCACAACAGCCCGAGGCAAAGTGTAGTGCTACACCAGGCCAACACCACGCAGCCTAGCGGAACACCGCTGCCGGGTGCTTCTGTCGACAAGGTCGTGGTCGCCCCACCCTGGGATCGCCAATTTGGCATAAGCGGCAGCTTGGTGGCTTTTTACCAGCAGATGCTGCAGGAGATTTTTCGTGTGGTTCGCCCCGGTGGCAGAGTGGTGGTTTTCGCAAGCCGGAGAGTCCTGCCGAAGCTACTCGAGGCTTTGAATTGCTGCCATGGGCCGCAGGGAGCAGTGAAGGCCGGCGCGAGCTGGCGTATCACGGCGAAGCGCAGCTTTGCGTTGACCCGGGCGACCACGGGAGTCATCCTCGTCCTTCGCTTCACCCGAGAGTGCACTCCGAAGACTTCGCGCTTTCTGAGTTGGGAGGGCCGGGGAGCTCCGGAAGGAGGTCGCGAACTCTACGAGCACTGGCGCCAGCTCCGGGCGCAAGGCTTTCCGAGGCTGGAGGCCGCCCTAGGCTCGGGCTCGGGCGCGAAAGAGGTTTCCGGTCCCGGGAAGACCGCGCCGGCTCTGCGACTCTTCGTTGCCCTCCTTTTCTGCGCAGGTATCGTCTTGGGCCTGAGAAGCCGGGTGTGAGAGAGAAAACTGCACACTGGCTTTTTTGTCTGTGAGCATTTTCTACTTGAGCAAGATGTACGTAATTACATACATGCCTAATTCGCCATGGTGTTGGAACGACATCACTGAATAGGCAATTTTTTTGTGCACACACGCATGCATGCATGCATGCATGCATGCATGGATGGATGGATGGATGGATGGATGGATGGATGTGCATGTACATGTATCTATATGTATGTGTATGTACGTGTATGTATGTTCATGTATGTATACGTATGTACATGCATGGATATGTATGTGAATGTATGTGTATGTCTGTATATGTGTGTATAAGCATGTATGTGCATGTATGTGTACGTACGTGTCTGTAATTCTCCATGCAGCATGCATGCGTGCATGTATGTTTTCATGCATGTATGTACGCATGCTTTATGCATTTACGTATGTGTGTGTGTGTGTGTATGCTTGATACATATGTATGTATGTATGTATATATATATATATATACATACATACATACATATATATATATATATATGCATACGTGTCCAGATGTGTATGTGCATGTGTACGTCTTCCCGTCGGTCTGTCTGCCTGTCTGTCTATGTGTCTGTACGTATGTAGGCGTTTACATATTTATATGTCCATATGTAGATGCATATGTAGATGTGTGTGTGTGTGTGTGTGTTTTCAATATTTGTTAACCAGAACCAGTAATTTGCTTGTGCATACCCTCTAACCAATTATTTGCACGACATAACCTCACATTTCATCACACTACATGTGTACATGTTTTTTTCATGTGCATGCACACTTACGTGTAGATATGCATCAGAATTTGTGCAAACGCCAGCCCCGTTGTGAGGCTCGCTGCCGGGGAGGCTTGGGGTGTCAGTCTTAGGCCACCAGGTTCAGCTCAGATGCAGCCTCTTAGCTGTCGATAGTTAATATGGGAGCTTCCGAAAGTTGGGAGGTACCTTATTTTGGGGTCCTTATAATAAGGATCCGACTATTTGGGGTATTATGTTAGGGTCCCCTACTTTCAGAATGGAATCCCCCATATGGGCACTATGGTTTGGGCAACCTGCTGGGCTCAAGTGCTGGGATCTACCATCGCTCCCAGCCAATTCCCGGCGCTTCCGAACAATGCCTTTATGGGCATTCGCCTGTTTTGCCATACTTGCCTCAGCAGTTGCTGAGGAGGCACAGCTCAGGGGAAGCGTGAGTCTCGCCGGCGATACTAATGCAACGCTTCTGACCAAACGTGCTGCGACGAAAGACTCTTCTTCGATGCACCTTGCATGGATGCCAGACTTGTCGTTTTGCCTCTCCAGCGATGGAAACCGCATCGGCAACGGTGTCAAGGTTCAGCTCTGGCGTTGCGATCAAAAGTGGCGAAGCGGAGGCCAGAACTTTTTCCTTGATGACGCCGGACGGATCAGGATGCATCAGAATTCAGACTACTGCGTCGTGATCGACGGCGACAAGTATGAGAACGGAGCGACGATTCAGCTTTGGAGATGCAGCGACAGCAACAAGCACCAGACCTGGTACTTCAATGATGTCGGACAGATCGAGGCGCGGAACGCCCCCACACAGATGTGCCTTGTTATCGACAGCAACCAGGGATTCAATGGGGCAAAGATCCAACTGTGGTCTTGCCAGCAATCTTCTGACAAGCTCCAGGACTGGGTCAGAATCGCCTTGGGCCCTTCCGGGTCTCGAGCCTACGCGCTCCCCGACGAGGACAAGGCGTGCACGTTTCCTTTCGAGCCTGTGGGTGCAACTGCAGCCGACTGTGTGGAGGCTGCTGAGGCAGTCCGTCCGGGAGAGGGATGCCACTGGGGAGGTGGCTGGGCAGATGTCATCTCTGAGGTGAGCTACCCTGACTGGCCTCAGGGATGTCACTTCTATTCTGCATGCCAGGGCGGCTGCTCTCTTGGGTTCAACCCCATGGGCCAGGGAAGCAGGGTTGCATCTCAAGGTCACTGTATGAACATCAATATGATATGCCAGATGCAGCTGCCTTGATCCCTACAGGCAGCTGCTGGGAGCAGCAATTTTGGGTCTTCCATGGTCTTCCTGTACAGACATTCTGGTGACAAGGCTCACCACTGCAGTTATTAAGTTGAGGCATTGATACATACTGCATGTGTTGCAGCACCAATAGCGTGCAGAAGCAACCCATTTAGAGCAGGTGGTGCCTCTGTGGCGACATTCCCGAACATTCCCGAGGCGTGTCGACAGGAGAATCAAAGAGCTCCTGTCTCAGCACGGATTCAGAAACAGGAGAACAGCAGCAGTTTGTTCGGGCGCTGGTAGAACCATGAAACTGGGAACAGCCAGCACCGTCACCCCTGTGTGCGCATCGCAAGCACGGCGTGCCCCTTGATGGAGAATCGGCAAACCCTTTGAGTCACAGAAGTTGCAAAGAATCGGAGCCCTAGGATCACAAGTCCCACACTTCTGAAGTCCCGTCACCTACAACCTACAATTTCAAAAAAAAGCTTAAACACCAAGATCTTCCGCCGTATCAGGATGCTTCCGAAAACTGTGGTTCCTAGTACAGTTCTCAATTCAGTATGGGTTCTTTGGTCTTCACTTCCTAGAGCCAGAAGCCCCCAACTATGAGCGCTAAGGGGGGGGGTTCTCGGTGTTCCGAGGCGCGGCTCCGCCCCAAAGGCCGCAGCAAAAGGCGCAGGCCATCTGGGAGCCTTCGGCCGATTGGGGCGTCTTAGGGTTCTGGTAGGGTTTCATGTAGGAACCTGATTTAGAAGCCCTGGGCTTATACTTCCCCTAAAATAGTAGGGTTCATGGAAGGAACCCTCATAAAGGCCCAAGGTTTCTTAATCAGGTTCCTACATCAGGGTTCTGGGTTGAGGGTTTAGTTTAGGGTTCCGGTAAACCCGAAAGGCTTTGCGAAGTTTCGGGATGTGCGTGCGAGCCTATGTACTCGCGCTTTTGTGCTGTTTTTGTCCACAAGGCCCACAGGGCCGCGGCCGCGGTGCTGCGCCAAAGGCAGCCGAGTGCCCGGCATCCGCCTGGTTGAGGCATTTGCATTGGTTTAGGGTCTGAAGCTAGAAGTTCGAGATGCGAGTGTGGGATCTTGGCAGAGATCCTGGGTTTGGTGATGTTCATGAAGTGTTCATCGAGCTGAGGTTTTAAGGGTACTTCAGGGTCAGGCACGGCCTAGGCCAAGCCCTTTTTGAGGTTTCAGGTGCAGGACTGGGGCTCTTCTAGGGCTTTAGTTCTGTGCCACGTTCTCACGCAGCTTCCACAGTGAAGGCCTGGCTCAAGACACGAGTTGCACCCTTTTGGGCCATCTCGTCGCCAGGGTAGGTATGGTGAAAGGCAAATCCAAAAGCAGCGATGTGCTTGATGGACCGCTGACCGTGGATGGGCTGCATTGGAACACAAGTCTCAGGTCCCTACCATAATAGAAATACCACAGCAGCCGTAACATTGGATGGAGGAGCCGGCTTCCATGATATATTTGGCACACTAGGTCTTGGATTTCAGGAGCAATGCTGCAAAAATCAGTTCCTTCCCAAGTAGTTCCTTCCCAAGTTGTCTTTCACACTTTTTGAGGTCATTGCTGTGTTTTGGGAATGTCTGTCAGAGAGTCCAGTCGAAGGGTGGTCGGGAAAAGGGCGGTTGTGTTGAAGTAGAGACATTGACCTTTTACAGAACCTGCTTGCTTGAGCTGATGCACGCAAGTGTGTACTCAGGCGTAGTGGGGAAGCACAGCATACGTTAATCGGGAGTTTCAAAAAAAACTAGCGACCCAACAACAACACAGCAGCAGCAACAGCAACAGCACATGCGCAGCGGGAGAGAGTTGTCTGTTGGGGCGAAACGTTCTTCCTCGCTTTGCGGGTGACAGCAACAGCAACAGCAGAAACCATTGCCTTCAACGGTTGATCCATGCGAACACAATCTGCGACTTGGATTCCTGGTTGGAAGCAATCCCAAAAAGAGTTCGATGCAAAGGAGAAGCCGTACAAGAGTGGCATCGTCCAGGCTGCTGCATCGGGACTGGGACATGGAATTCCAGCTTTTGTCGTCTGATGCTGCAAGAGAGATAGAATTTTCTATGACATGCTTGAATCTAGCAGAAGAAGGCGGTATAATGTACTTAAATGTAGCATTTCATGCAGTCTGCTGCGTAGCGCATCATTTTCTCCAGCTCTGTTGCTTCAGATCCTCGAATGCCCGAACGTCCTTGAAGATTTGATAGGCTTTGTTGTTAGGAGTACTGCGCAGGTATCTGGGTCGGTTCGTACTCCTGAAAGAAGGGGTAGTAGTGGCAGTGGTCGAGGTCGTGGTCGTGGTGGTGGTGGTGGTGGTGGTGGTAGACGGTGCCAGTGTTTGCTTCAGTGTTGTTACTTAACATGATGAGCTTCCTTCTGCCGTTTTGTATCAAAGCGCTCTCAGTTGACCTTCGGAAGGTCTTGCGGAACACCCCGGTTCAGGTTGGCGACTTTGACTCCAAGGTCCGGGGGGGATTGGAGCATTTGGAGCCCCAATCTTCAGTTCATCATATTGACATATTGGGGATCATCTTGTAGCACAGAAGGGGTCCGACAGCACAGAGAAGATCAGCATCGCCCCTTCGAAGTACAACATGCACAAGTCGACCCTGAATTCCCAAAGACCCTGTAACACTAGAAGCAGTCCAAATCCCCACCTGCTTGCGCCTCACAGGCCATTCTTCTGCTTGATGCTGCTCGGGTCGGCATTGCTACGGGTGTAGGAATTCTTTGCTGGCGTTGGTCAGAAGGCAGAGGTTGTGTCCGGCTGGCTGTTCAACCAAGCATAGTTTACGAAACCCTAAGCCTTAGAGGCGAGCCAACTGTGCACATGTCGGACCTGGTTCTCTCTACTACTGTTTCCCAAACGGACATGATTCCTCTCTTTCTGGGTGCTAGGGTTAACCCCAACAACAACTAGCAGCATTACTGATTGGAAGATTATAGTATGAGTAATGCCGCTAGAGAAGCTCGTACTGCTCCTACTCTTATGTCTAATGTTACTACCACGAAGCTTGACATCGCCGACAAAAATTGGCACTGCAATTGCCACTACCACCATCACGACGACTAACAGTAGCTCTGCGCCACTACTATTGCTACTTCTGCTGCTGCCACTACCACCACCACGACGACGACTACTGCTGCTACTACGACTTCTGCTTCTAGTACTAGTGCAAGTACAAGTACTAGCACGAGTACTGGTACTGGTACTAGTACTAGTACTAGTACTAGCACCAGTACCAGTGCCAGTGCCAGTGCCAGTACTACTACTACTACTACTACTACTACTACTACTACTACTACTACTAGCGCTACTACTACCGCTACGACCGCCACTACTACCACTGCTACTACTGCTACTGCTACTGCATCAGCTACTGCTACTGCTACTATGACTACCACGGCGACGACGACGACTGCTGCTACTACTACTACTACTACTGCTGCTACTGCTAGTGCTAGTGCTACTGCTGAGGCTACTGTTGCTGCTACTGCTACTGCTCGTACTACTGCTACTGCTACTGCTGCTACGGCTCCTGCTGCTACTGCTACTGTTGCTACTAGCTGCTACTGCTGCAGGCCAGTACTACTACTTCTACCGTCACTGCCGCTGCTGCTCCCGCTACTACTTCTGCTGCAACTACAACTGCTACTCCTACTGCTGCCACGGCCGCTGCCTGTTACTACTACTACTACGACGACGACGACTGCTGCGCTACTACTGCTGCTGCTGCTGCTGCTTCTACTATTACTACTACTACTATTACTACTACGACTTCATAGAGCCCCGCGGAGCTGGCATAGCCGTGCTAGGTGGGTGACAAAAACTACAACAAACTACTGCTACCAACGTTACTCTCCTTGCTGCTCTATGAGCGCTTTGCTCCTCTCCTGCTGCTGCGACAACTGCGTTGACAATGCGCCCGCTACGGCTTCGATGATCACGACGGCCGTGATGCTGAGAATGATGCAGACTTTCCTGGCAATTGTTGTTGTGTTTCGACATGGCTGTTGACAGCCGAAGCCAGAAGAGCAACGCTACGAGGCTTTCCCAGGCGCGACAAATTCACGGTGTTGACTCCGGAAATCAATGAGGGCAACCGGGACCCCGATAGTGAGGGTCTAGTGCCCAGGTTCTGCACGAGAAAGGCAGGGCCACAGAGGCCGGAGGGGCTGCGACGAGCATGGATCAGGATTTTGTGGAATTGAAGTTGGACTGTGCCGTATGCGACGTCATCGTGGAGAGTGCAGGGCCTCAAGCAAAGAGCTTGGAATCAAACTGCGTGGTGAACCATGGCTTCGTTTGTGCTCTGACAGCATGGCCCAAAGGGCGCTCTAAAGCTAGGTTTGACCCCCGTCGCAGGCGTGCCAGGTGCTGCAAAACACTCTTCAAGGACTGGGCTCCTGGCTTGAGATTCAATATTTCCCGGAGTTTCTCTGGTTTAGGATGGGTTTAGGTTTAGGCCTTGTTGGGGATTCTTGATATTTCTGGTGGCGTTCAACGGGCTTCGAAGTTAAGTGGATCTTTCTCGTCTGCAGATGCGTTGTTAGGATTTGCATTCTGCTCAGAGAATCCCATGACTTTGTAACTTCTTCTCGTTGTCGGCTATGCGAGTCAAATCAGAGTCCCGGCGCGAGTTCCTGTTAGAAGACAAATTGCGGAAAATGACGGCAAGACGTGAAAGCGAGCACCTTGGTTTTCTAGAGTAAAGAAGGCGAGTGGTAGGAGCGACTTCTCCCGTCGCGATCACAGGGGAGGACCCTACTTCAGGGCTTCAGTCGATCTTTGTAGCTTCGAGCATTAACGTACTGGACTCTGAAAAAATACCTCAACCCTAGCGGCTTCAGGGCGTCCTCGTCAAGCCGAGGGGGAGTGGATGGGATGCAGGAGTGCAGCGAAAGAAAGTCACGAACTGGCGTGCTTATGTGTACACCCTGCTCCGAGGCGTCTTGGTCTTCATTTTAGCCTGGGTGCGTGGGATTCTGATTTGGAGATCGCTCGTGTCTTTAGATTACCGGTAGGGTTAGAGGCACTCCTCTTGGTGAGGAGAGTCTTGGCTTCAAGTCAAGGAAGACTGGGAGTTCAGCCCAGCTCAGAGTTTCGAAGCTTGAGCAAAAGGGACTCCTCCCAAGCTGCCCAGGCATCGACGAGGATGCCTACAATGCAATGAAAGAGTCCAAGGACTCCGCCACGAGAGGTAGATTCAGGTAGGTTTTAAGGTTGAACACATCGGGGATCTTCGTGGCATAAATTGGCAGCGGTCTCTTTAAGATTTCCTTTAGTCACGTTGAGGCAGTGCTTACATCTAGTCTCGAGCATCGATTTCTGTGGAGCATCAATCCAGCATCGAAGACTTGAATGATGGCTCGCGACGACTGGCCCCTGAAGACTCCGAAGGCCCAAGGCTGGTGCCTGGTGCTTCAAGACAGGAACTCAGGGATCCCAAACGGTGCACGCCGACTCTGCGAAATGGTTCTTTGCTGTGCAAACACCAGTGGGGCATCTTCGGGGTCTGGGTTGTGGGGGATGCAGCAGACTTAAGGCAAGAATGTTGGCAAGGTTTCCCAGGCAAACATCTTTCCTTGTGGTGCAGGAAGCCGAGAAATCGGCATACGAACTACGCCGGATATTCTAAATCTCTGCGGCGAACTGGAGCTTAAGCCCTGAACAGGAGAATAACGGCCGCAAGAAGCGGCGTCCTTCGGTGCAGGACGGTTGCAGGTTTCCTTTGCTTTGGGTACTTGTGATGATTGTGGAAGAGTTATTAGGGGTTTAAGTTGGGTTTAGGATGGGCAGGTTTGGAAACTCAACGGGGGCTGAAAGCCCGAAGAACTGAACCTTAACAACTTCGGAAAACTCAATGAGTCCGGCTGCTTCCTGTCCGGCGCCGTGGTAAGAAACGGCATCCTTGATGGCTGCCCTTCAACCCAAAAGGATTGTGACTTGAGTAGTGGAGATCTTGTGGACTATGTGGAGCCTTGCCTGCCTTGTGCGAGTGTGAGCGTCGAAACCCTAAATCCCTGTAGTTTTCAGCCCTCCGACCTGGCGGCGCGTGCCGGGCCTGGAATTCTGCGAGTTGGGAGCGGCAGAAACCCCAATTTTCTAAACATGGGATTGTCTCAGCGGCTTCGGGTTTAGGGTTCATTCCCCATGTTGAAAAAGGCTTTGGAGTCAAGGGCTGCACGCAGCAGCAGGACGGATGAGTTGAGAGGTGCATTTTGCATCCTGTTCCTTCGTCTTTGCACGGCATGTTGGAGTCTTTCCGTTCCTTTCTGATGGTAGCATACTCGGAACCGAGAAGCTCGCCTGGCTGGTTCAAGTGTGAGAGCATGAGCCAGCTGCCTCACGTTTCTTTCGGCTGTTGCCTGTTCTCTTGCATAGTAGGTTCGCCAAATCTGAACCCTAAAGCCCCAGCAGCCGTCAACCTCAAATCCCGAAGCCCTGAACAAAAGCGACCGCCCAAACCTGAAGAAGACCTCCGCGCCGTTAAAAGCACCGGTCCCCTGGATTCAAAAGCCCTGAAGCGCCCATCCCTTCTGTTCCCGTGTCGGAGGAGGCCACGACCCCCAGCGCCGGGAAGAAGGATCCGATCGAGGGAGTTCAGGGTGTAGGATGGGGGGATAGGCTCATTAAGGTTCTACAAGGGCTCTTCACAGATCTAGAGGGTTCTATAAGGGCTCCTTTGAGGCATCTATGGGGTAGGGGAGGGGTACTATACTTCCTGAAGTAGGACGCATTAGACCCTTGTCAAGTCCTTGTTCCGGCTATCAAGGCTCCCTGCTGGGGGGTGGCGGGGCAAGGGTCCAGGGTTTGGGGTGGGGGTCCTTCCACAAATCCTTTTATGGGGTATGGGCGATTTCGGTTGACGGATGTTGACGGATGAGGTTGAAAGCTTGAAAGTACAGAGTGCAAGGCTTGAGGCAATGTCGACGGGGTTCAGGGTTTGAGTCCATGTGAACACTTGTACATATTTTCGATCTAACGTTTTTCAAACATGAGCATAGATATAGATATAGATCAGGATATAGAGATGAAGATAAAGATAGACATGTAGATGGGCGGAAGGCAGCTGTCGGCACCTGGACTTTTGTGCAGACCGCGCAGGGTTAGCCTCGAGACCACGACCCCGGTTACCGTCTTCCCGGCTTAAACCTTCCTTTTTTTTGCCGAACACCCCAGAAACCTCAAACTGACGGCCGGGTTTGCTGGAAGGAGTTTAACAAGTCTGCCGCCGAGTTCGTCCCCGGCCAGCAGTGGGCAAAGCCTGCCGAGGCAACTTCCGGATGCATGTTGGGTGGCGCAGGGTGCCATATGATGTTTCAGGTCGTGAGAGGGCTTGGAAGGACAATGTGAAACCAAGAAGCGCACGAACGATGTGTTGTAGTACGATCTGGTGCGTAGCACGTGCCCGGCCAGCTGTCCCCTGTGTGACTGCCTTTCGGTTTGCCGTCCCCCCTGCCCTGCCCACTTCCAGCTTCTTGCGAAAGATGCAAAGGGGCCACGTGTCGGGCAGCCTTTGGAGTTTGGGATGCCTTGTCGGTTCTTCGCATCTTCCCTCGACCAGGAGCCCAAATCAAAGCTCCGTGAGGATGCGGCAGAATTCAAGCCTGGTGTGTGGCCTGAGGCCACGATGTGATCAAAGCAAGACCGTAAGCTTGAGTTTTGCTCGTTTTCTGGTTGCTTCCATTCTCTTGTAGCCTGGTGAACCTGATCCTTGTGCTTGCACTGGGCAGGCTTATCAGCCGCCCCCACCTCCGGTGATCGTCCCGGCGTCCGCGATGACGTTCCCAACAACGTACAAGCCCCAGCGCGAGCCGAAGGCCATGAAGCCCGACGCCGCGGAATTCATTCCCGGAGTCTCCGCCTATGCGGGGGCCATGAAGCCCAAGAAGTCCAAGGGCAACAAGAACTCGAAGTCCAGCCCAACAGCCGCAGCCACCCCTACCCCCACGGCCAAGGCAGGTCCCGTCACCCCCGGACTCCTCTCCGGCAGTGGACCCGGCTCGCCTGTCACCCGAGACGCCGATGTGGCGGCAGGAGGCGCGAGCTCCAGCTCCCAGCCACAGCCGCAGGCCACGGAGGACAGACTTTTCGAAAAGGGATACTATAGGGGCTCAAATGACGACCAATACTGTTTTGGGGTTCCTTGCTATCATTGGTAAACAGCCGCCCGCTCCTTGTCTTCGGGGTTCCCCTGACCTCCCCGTCCGCTGCCCAGGCGAGCCCCACAAAGGCTGCCAAGGAGCTCAGCGAGCTTTGCCGCGACAAGCTTGGCAGCGGGGCAGCTCCGCAACCGGCAGCTGTTGGCAACCCGGCCCGGACTGCGTGCGCAGACCGCTTTTTTGCGTTTCAGAGTCTTTTTGGGTGTCTCGGAAAAGTCGTCTGAGGCAAACTCGGGAAGAAATCCGGGGTGTGGGAGTTCGTGAAGGCTTTGACCGACTCCGAGTGTGCGGCGGTGCTTTCGGCTGCAGAGCAACTGGGCTTCAACCCGGCAGAGCAGGATCGAGCGGGAGGCCATTGCAAGCTTGTCAGGGAGGACCCCTACTTGGCCGACCGTCTGTGGCAGCGTGTCTCCGCGGCCGCACCTTCGCCCTTTTGCGGGAAGAGGGTGGCAGGAGTATCTCCGACGCTCCGCGTGCAGCATGGCTCCTTGGCAGAGGTCCAATCGGAGAGCCTGGCCTTTTACCTGTGCCTGAAGAGTGCCAGCGGGGAGAAGCTGCGGGCTGGGGACCTCTTCATCCTCGCGCCAGGTGAGAAGCTGCCAGGAGACACTCCCTGTGCTTCCTGGCTTTGTGCTGATCTTCAGCTCGAGAGCTCGTGGTGGGCATCAGCTTCCCAGCGCTTTGGCTTCGGGGCTTTCAATGAACGCCGCGGCGTGGTCTTACTACTGGTCACCACGGCAGCGGCCACTATGCTGGTGACCCAACTGAGGCGTCGCAGTCTGAGAAACTGACTAATTACAAATTTCGCGAACTTGCACAGATATTTTAAGTTTTGGCATTGTGACAATGCCCGCCTTTGCTGCATCGTACACGTCAGTGTGTCATTGAAGAAAGCTTTCATGGGCACGGTCGGGTCAGAAGATCCACTGACTGAACTTTAACCTACCTGCTTTCCAGCTGCTGTGCAACAGCCTACGACAGATAATTGCGACTCCTACTTGCGTGCACAGCGAGGAGCACCCCGCCTAAAAGCTGGGCATCGAGGAAGCATGAGTGGTTTTCATGTGCGACATGTCTGTACGCATTCTCACATGTTGTGCCAATACAGACTTGCAGTGGCGAAGCAGCTGGCCATGCAGTAGCACGTGTCGTGCAGGGAGTAATGCCTGCCATTCAGAGCCTTGAAGTCAAGGAGGAGTAGGCAGTATGATTGTCGGCTTAGCAGCTAGACCGCCGCGAGCAGCATGCGGCACGTAATGATAGACATCTTTCGATTTGTGGCAAGAGTATCTGCTGGACAGCCTGAGGCCCAAGCTCCGCCTACGCCCGCTCCGCCCGCGGAGGCCCAGACAGGTTTGTGCCGGCGGGTCTCGTGGCGGTCGTCGTTGTTACCTCTGTCAACAACAATTGGATAACTGGCCCTGGCATTGGTGGCATTTCGGGTCGTTGAGGAAGAGTAGAAGCAGAATAAGAAGTAGTAGTAGCAGCAGCAGTACTAGGAGTAGGAGTAGGAGTAGGGGCAGTGGTAGTGGCGGTGGCAGTGGCAGTGGTAGTTGTCGTGGTCGTGGTGGGGGTGGTGGTAGTAGTAGCAGTAGTAGTGGTAGAAGTCGTAGTAGAAGTAGGAGGAGGAAGAGGAGTAACCACCGCCGCTGGAGCAGGACAGGCAGGAGCACTTGTAGGAGAGGAAGTTCTCTCGCACGGCCCGAAGCCTCCACGCTCACGCAAACAGGCGCAGGGCGAGGGCACAGTGACCTGTTCGGAACCCGACTTGACGCAGCTTGCTGACTGCTTGCAGTCCTCTTTCTTGATGGTTATGCAGTGGACTCACTCGGATCAGAAGCAAATGTCTCTATCAGGAGGGGCCCGACATGCCTAGAGATTCCGCTCGTCACCCAAGGCGCCAACCGGGGCTTGCTCCAGCAGATGCTTTCGGGCGTGCTCCAGGCTTGAGAGATCGGGCATTTTTGCTCCTAGCAGTATCAGTATCACCAACAAGGACAAGACTTGCTGATACCGAGAATCAAAGAATGTAGATCACAATAGACAGTAAACAAAGTACAAGACAAAACCACATATGATGGTAACAATGTTATTTCTTCTTGTTGTTGCTGGTACTCTTATCGTTGCTGGAGTTGTTGTTGCTGTCGCTGCCGCTGCTGCTGCTGCTGTTGCTGCTGCTTTTACTCGTTATTTCCACTGCATAGGGACTTCGCAGCTTTGAGTTCCGTGTCCCCCGGTTGAATGGTTGACGCGAGGCCTCCACCCACTAATAATTGCAAGCGACACAGAACAGTATGGCAATTTGTGTATTGTCTTTTAAGTTAGGGCCTTGATGAAATCGGTAAATATATAGATAGAGTCAAATACATGAGGTACATATATATGTATATATCCACATATTTATCCGTGTCCATTTCCATTGACACTGTCTTATGCTGAGCACCTGGCACATGCCTTTTTTCAACTCGCTTGTCGTTACCCAGTTTCGACCTCACGTGAACTCCTCCCTGCGTGAGATATCATGTCGCAGTTTGAGAGTTTCGAGCCGAACTTCAGATGCTGATCTTTGGGTGCCGGAGGAAGAACTCCGACTCAGGCTATTAAACCCCCAGCCAGGTTTCCGGGGCTTTGCTTAAAGCTGAGTTCTGTTTTCTGGATGGGAAGGGTGCTTCAGGAAGCATGTTTCCAGACTTCGCTGCGTTGGCAAGTCGTCATACTTTTCCCCTTAAACTTCAGGGGATATATATGTATATATTTCCCGGAAAGCAAAGCGGATTCCCAAATCCCACGTCCTGGTTGGACACGACCTGTCCCAGTGAAGCAAGTCCAGCACATTCGCATCGTGGGAAGGAGCCTTCCGACGGCGAGCCAGCCGAAGACCTCTCCGGGGGTGGGTTCAAGGGTGCATGTTCACCGATGCTCCGTGTTCAGGCATCCTGAGTGTGGTCCGGCTGGACTTGAGTCCAGTTTTATGGGGAGTGGGGTTCGAGCCGTCGGGCAAACAGGTTCAGGTTGCATGGGTGGTGTGTTCAAGTGCAGACACTGGATGTTTGGCGTCTAGGGTTTAGGGTGTGGGATTTGGGTGTGTTTTGTTTTTTGTTTGGGGATTTGGGGCTTAAGGTTTCACAGTTCCAAGCTGGCAGTCAACTCCAGTGAACCGCGGCCCTAAGGCTGAACTTCAACATGCAAGATCTCTGCCCCTGCTCTGTGCACTGGACAAGAGGCAGCTAACCTCAAGTAGGATCTCTTCTTCAAGCCCGCGACTGGACATGATATCCCGAATGTCGGCGTTTTGATGGCGGTGGGCGAGGAGTGGCATTGGCAACGATACTACTTACCGTTGAGAACTTGGGCTTCAGATCCAACCAAAAACTTCGAGTTGCGAGAGCAAGCGCTTAAGCCGAGAGTCCAAACCTACTAAATTCTCAGCCCTCAACCCTCAAACCTGCTCAACCCTAAACCGTGCAGTAGAGGGATTTTTGGGGTTGGGCCATCTGCAGTTCATCGCCGCGCCGGAGAGGCTCGCGACAGGGTCTGGGGTCGGAGGCAGTGTGGGGACAAAGATTCCCCACAAATTTGAAGGGTACCATCACGGCAGCTATAACAAGTGCTTTGAGGCTGACGCTATCGGGATTCCTGTAAGGTTGACTACGTAGGCTAGGGGTTCCGATAAGGGTGGCTAAAGAGGCTATGCTTGCAAAAGGCTTACCATGCGGATTACGGGTCACTGTTTTGGGGGTTTAGGCGGCCTTGAGCTACTGTTCGTTGGAATGCTGGGCCAAATTCAGCTCACGAATCGACCCAGACGGATCGCGGCTTTTCTGCTGACGACAGCCACGGCCTCTTGTCCTATAATCCGTTAGGATGGTCGTTGCCAAACACCTTAAGCTCTACACCCCACAAGCTGTCTGGCGCAAGTGGGTAGATATGTGGAAGCATCTTGTGGCAAGGCGTTGAGTTCAGGTTGCTAGCAAGAAGCAGATGAGGTTTCGCTCTTTGCTTACTTCCTCGCCACGACATCGAGGCAATCCATTCGACAGAAGATTCGGCTGGGACTTAGCTTTACAGCGCCGAGAGAAACTCCAGGGCTGCTCCCCGCTGTGACAGAGGCCGCGTGGATATCATCCAACAGCACCGGTGGCACGTCTGTTTCGCGGCAGGATGCCACAACACCACTGCAGGTCCACTCAGAGAGTCTGCTGAGCCTCGGTGCAAGGACCAGTCTGCAGCTGGCAGCATCAGGTGCCTCCAGCACCCTCTCGACCAGTCTCCGCCCGTCGGCTGGGCCGGCGGTCCGTGGCTCCACAACACGCGCAGCGCCGACAACGCAAGCTGTCCAGGGCTCTCCGGAGAGCGCGCCGAGCGTCGGAGAAGGACAGGCGCAGCTGGGCCCGCAGTGGCGGCCCCTAGCAGCTTCAGATCGATATCGCTTCACCCCGCAGACCCTGCCGCCTTTCCGAAAATGTGAACAGGAAGAGCGAGGAATGAATCGCTGGAAGCAGAAGCTGGACCAACGTGGCCTGAAAATCTGCAGCGGAGGTGTCTCAAGCATTATATGTGCGCGTGAACTGGCATCACCCAGGATCTATGTGTGCCAGTTCAGCAACGTCTTGGAAGTGCTTGCTGGAGATGGCACCTTACGCTGGATTGCCCAATGCGCTTTGCATAAAGATGTGGATCTCTATTCCCTGTTCCAGCCTTTGCATCGCAGCCATTTCCTGCATTTCCTCGATGTTCGAAAAGACCTTGGGTCGAAGCAGCTCAGCAAAACCATCACAGTCGTGCAGAGCATCCCTGCTAATGTCGACTTTTCTGACCATGTCCTGGCATCTTTGAAGTTAACTGCCCAAGAGAAGAAAGAGCCTGCTCGCGAAGGGGTGACCTTCCTATCTTCCGGCGACTGCAACACGGGCAACCCGGGCCATTGCCAGGCCGATCAGGACAACTTGTTCATCGTGCAGCACATCTTGCCGAAGACCTTCAGCAGAGAGGAGACCAGAGTGGTTCTTTACAACGGCTTTGGCAGGTCAAGATATTCGGCTGCGATGGAACATCTGCCCCATTTCTACGAAGACTGGCAGGCACTGTCCGCCGAGATCGTTACCGCCTCCTACTCTGCAGAGTTTCCTTCCTTGAAAGTGAAAGCGAAGCCGTATGTGCAGCTCGTGAGGTACCTGGTATCTGGGCCTGCTGGAATCTTGTCATAGTTGGGTAGCATTGTACATTTCAACAGGTACTTAAACCCAATAAGGAATAGAAGTTCAAGTTTTTAATCCTATCCCAACCATGACCTAGGAATGACGGGGCCTCACTGGACCAGCTTGAAAGGTAGCTCTTGCATCGGCCGGTCTCCTTTGCTCCTTGCGCATCAGATGGCGGCCTGGTGGCGAGTTTACGCTTGGTGTGCGGGGTGCTGCAGGGTCTCCTTTCTTTCGTGTCTGTAGGTTTGTTATGACGACTCTTATGACGAGTACCATGGTTTTTCCAACTGTTGAAATTGAACCGACACTGCTCTGTAGGGCGCAGCTTGCGCCGTTCGTGTGTCGAGTCCCTGGAAGCAGTTAAGGCTGCGTTGCCCTTCTTCGAGTCGAAATGGGCGAGCAACCCGGATCGATATGGTGATGCCTGCAAGTTCTTGCAGAAGCTCTCTGCTGAATACTCCTTGCACCTCCTGAACGGAGAGGTTTGCAAGATCGACGCAAGGCACAGCAACTTCTACCTGTGGATTTCACGGGTCGATCAGGACTGCCACGGGCCGGCCCATTTGACCAGCAAATGCAGGAAGCGCCAAAATCGTGGCGTCTCGAACGGCCTGGAGCTTGCAACCGAATTGTCGACGCGTTATACTGCAACTACCATTCTTTACGTCAACGCGGGAATCATTCCCTACCTCGACCAAGTGTTCCTGATACGGGCGGCGAGCACCATCATTGCAGCGCACGGCGGCGGCTTGTGGAATGCGGCGCGCTGGCTGAACGAAGCGCTGCACCAGCGAGTCGTGGAGATCGTGCCGATAGGTCGAAGTTGTCGAACTTGTTGTCCAAGCAGCCAAAACTCTTGACCCCAAAAGGCCCCTAATCAAACCCTTCAGGGTTCTGCTTTGCCAGGTTCTCCAGGCGAGACCTGTTCTCTCGCAAAGCTTTTCGGCGGTCGATACAGCTGGGTCAAGTGCCACGCTTGCAAAAACAAGCAGAATGGAGAGCTGAAGTTTGAGGAATTCGTTAAGGCGCTGGAGACTGTGGACGTCAGCACATGCCAGGGGTTTTGATCTTTGCCCCGTCCCTTCATGCAGGATGCCGTGCACATTCGGAAGTGAGGCAAGAGCATGCTCGCATGTTGCTTGATGCCTTCGCTCGAAGGTTCATTGACTTGTGCGCCGACAGCCGGTGCCAGCCAAGGAAAAGGCATTGGGGGAAACCCTAAAAAAATACAACGGGACAGAGGTGGCACTCATCGAAGCCCAGCATGGATCCCAAAACCCACCTCCCTTTCTGGCGAAAGCTTCCGTTCCAAGTATGATGGCCCAATGCTCCCGCAGTCTTTTTCTCATCATGTAGTCTTTAGTCTTAACTTATTCTTCAAAGGCTGCAGTACGGAGATCTTGAAAAATTGGAACCGGGTCTTGGGATTCCAGAAAAGAAGGACGGTGAGAAATCATGTGTTTAATAAAGGCATAGGGGTCTTAATAACCAGAATAGAACAGGGCTTTGGGGTTTCGTATGCGATAGCTGTAATAAGGAACTCTTCAAATAGTATAGGGAATTAATAGGGCCCCTATATTAGTCTATACTATGGGGTTTCGACAACCAGCAAGTCTGCGTTTGGCAACTCCCGGCGACCCAAAACGACCTTATAGCCCGGGTTGGATCCTGGAACCCCTGCTTCCTCGCCTCGGTAATGACTCCGGGCCCAAGCTCAAGCTTTTTGCGCTTCCGGTAAGCTCCAAAATTGCCTCCGATTTGCTTTTGTTCCCCCGGCCATAAACTTAACCCGCTGAGCCCTAAAGTTTAGGCTAACCCCTAAACTCCTGATCCTTTACACTAACCCCAAGAAACCGAAACCCGCGCGCTCGAATTGCTGGCATGGCTGATGGCTGGGCCAAGAAGATCGCTGCCAGCTTGCTGCTGCCGGCGATGGCCTCTTGGTCCAACTCGCCGTCCGAAGGTCTGCGGGATGCTTTTGGCTTAGGGTCCAGGGTTCAGGGTTCAGGGTTTAGGGTTCAGGGTTCAGGGTTTGGGTTTAGGGCTCAGGGTTTAGGGTTCAGGGTTGAGGGTTCAGGGCTTGGGTGCGTGGTAGAAGGATGCTCTTGTACTCGTACAGACGCGACCGTTATCTGGTACAGCCTTGAGGCTTTGATTCCTGAGCCCAGAGGTTACACCGGCCTCTTCCCGATTTCGATTGAAGCGTCATGCTCGGGTTCAGCGTATGTACAAGAGCCAGAGTTTTGATGCTGCATTTCAAGAGAAAGCGAGGCTTTTATATCTGCCTACCTCTTCACCTCGGCGTTCAGCCAGTCCATTCGACAGAAGCTCCGGCTGGGACTGCACTTCAACGGGGCCCACGCGCCTCCGGGGCTTCCTGCTTCACAAGCATCTCCCGAAGCCATCTCCACAACAAGCAAGGACCCAGCGACATCAGCCAGCCGCGACTTTCCGTCCACCACGGAGGGCCGGCCTGGTTCCCCGAGCTCCACAACCCAAGGCGCACAGCTGGCGGATTCGGATGGGCGAAGCTTCACCTCCAGCACGTCCAGCGCCCTTTCGACCAGTCTCCGCCCCTCCGCTGGGCCGGCGGTCCGTGGCTCCACGACACGCGCAGCGCCGACAACGCAAGCTGTCCAGGGCTCTCGGGAGAGCGCGCCGAGCGTCGGAGAAGGACAGGCGCAGCTGGGCGTGCAGTGGCGGCCCCTGGCAGCTTCAGATCGATATCGCTTCACCCCGCAGACCCTGCCGCCTTTCCGACAGTGCGAGGAAGAACACCTGGGAATGAGCAAGTGGAAGCAGAAGCTTCGCGGACATGGCCTCGAAATCTGTGGCGCTGGAGTTTCGACCATCACCTGTGCTCGCCACCTCACCAAGCAACAAGTCTATGTCTGCCAGTTCCGGGATGTTGTGGAGTTACTATCTCCAACTGGCACCTTGAGTTGGGTTGCGCAGTGCAACTTGCGCAGAGAAGTGAACCGCAGAATGCTGTTCAGTCAATTGTCTCCCCGACACCCTCTTCAAAACCTGGACGTTCGACGTCAGCTTGGAGCGAAGCAGCTCACCCAACCAATTACAATCCTTGAGAGCCTGCCTGGCAATGTGTCTTTACTTGACCACATTTCAGCGTCTCTGCAGTGGAATGTCCAAAATAAATCCGCAGCCCGTGAAGGTTTGACCTTTATGTCGACAGGCGACTGCAACACGGGTAACCCAGGCCATTGCCAGGCCGATCAGGACAACTTGTTCATTGTGCAGCACATCTTGCCGAAGACCTTCCGCAGAGAGGAGACCAGAGTGGTTCTTTACAACGGCTTTGGCAGATCGAGATATTCGGCTCAGAAAGCAAGTCTGCCCCATTTCTACGAAGACTGGCAGGCACTGTCCGCCGAGATCGTTACTGCCTCCTACTCTGCAGATTTTCCTTCCTTAAAAGTGAAAGCGGAGCCGTATGTGCAGCTCGTGAGGTACCTGGTATCTGGGCCTGCTGGAATGACGGGGCCTCACTGGACAAGGTTCAACCAGCCGGGTCTCTGTGAAGGGCGGTCACCTTTACTTCTAGCTCACCAAATGGCTGCTTAGCTGCAGCTACGGCTTTTGATATACCCTTTAGTTGTGCTTTGTATGGGAAACAGCAGCAGTCATTCTCATGGCCGTGGTGGTTGTAGTGGTAGTGGCCACGCTAACAGCAACTAGACGAGAGTGAGGGCAACTTAGTGAAACTGCCAGCGGGTCGTGTTCGTAGCAGAACCAAGGCAGCGTTGCCTTTTTTCGAATCTGAATGGGGGCGCGACCCGAAACGCTATGGCGATGCCTGTAACTTCATGCGGAAACTGTCGGCAGAACACTCCTTGCACCTCCTTAATGGGAAGGTTTGCAAGATCGATGCAAGGCAAAGCAACTTCTACCTGTGGATATCGCGCATACCCCCGGACTGCCACAAGATTCCTTCGCTTGGCGACAGCTGTGGGAAGAATCGTGGCGTTGCAAACGGCCTGGAGCTCGCAACCGAACTGTCGAAGCGTTACACAGACGCTACCATTCTATACGTGAACACGGGAACCATTCCCTACCTCGACCAAGTGTTCCTGATACGCGCGGCGAGCACCATCATTGCAGCGCACGGCGGCGGCTTGTGGAATGCGGCGCGCTGGCTGAACGAAGCGCTGCACCAGCGAGTCGTGGAGATCATGCCGATAGGCTGGAACAGACTCTCCTGAAGAAGCTACTGTACGGTTGATGATACAAATCCTGCATTACCCATGAGAAGGAATATGCCATAATTCCCATAGTTTAGGGTCCTTAAGGTAGTGCAGGATTTATTTATCATCACCAGTAGGAACCTGATTAAGAAACCCTGGGCTCATAACCCCCAAGATAGCAGGATTCATACAAGGAGCCCTAATACAGGCCCCGGGTTTTTTTTAATCAGGTTCCTACATTACTTGAAGTCCTAAATCATTGTTAAAGACCTCAGGTCTTACTGTTTTCCTTTCTTCCAACTCAGCCACCTTTACATGGGTCTTGTAGTAGGCTGAAGGGCCACTTCCCGCAACTATGACTCCGAAATGAAACGATGGTCGGAATTGCAGAGCTCCAGCTGTGCTGTCTTTTGCGCCGGTTGGCTATCGTTACTCGGAGACCTTTCCAGGCTTGTCTAAGTTGTGAATTGTGAGGCGGGCCCTCCGAGAGCTGTTCACTCACCAAGATGTTTGGCTGCCGCTACAACTTCGTCACGTGCTACGACTGCATAACTCCAAGGAATGGGCGCCTGTCCTTCGAGAAGCTTTTGAAGGCTGTTGAGGCAACTGAAGGCGTCCACTGCAACGGGGTCTGAGGAACCGCTCAAGGCCAAGATGGCCTGGAAGCCCTTCTAACTCCATAGATGAGTCCGGGATTTAGCGCTTCTCGTGGCTTGGAGAGCATGATCTGCCGTCGGAGGATTCCTGCAAACGACAGGATATATATATATATATATATATATATATATACATATATACATACAGGATGTACAAAAAACATACATTACAGCCCCATGCATACACGCTTTACTACATGCACATACACATTTATGGTGCCGCGTAGCCCCGTCGCAGGCCCCCCCCCCCCACCCCCCATGGTATGCCCCCCCCCCCCCCCCCCGAAGCCAGGCGTCTCGTCCCATCAAACCAAACAGTCACACGTCGTCCGCATAACTCCCCCCCAAGCCAGGCCTCGTCTCTCGTCTCGGCAGGGGCGGGAGGGAAAATCCACAACAGTGGAACCACAAGACGGCGAACCACAGGGGTGGGGTGGGGAAGGATAATCCACACAGGGAACCACCGGGCGCCTTCCCTTCCCCTCTCTTCGAATACAAATGAGAATTTTGCGCACAATGATGTTGATGTGCTAGTCCCAGTGTGGCTGTTGGTGGTACGTTTGCTCTTATGTTGCTCCGGGCTTCGGCACCGCATGTTCAGTGCTTTATCTAGTTGAAAACCGTGCTTGGCTTGTGATGTTCTTGCGAAAACTGTATCGACCGTTGTCATTCCAAGCCAAGTTACGGTTGGGTTCGCTACAAGTAAGCTTGAGCACGTGTTTGAATGGTTTTCATTCGGGATCGATAACCCTCCCCTCCGCTTGCACATTCCAAGCACAGAATGCACATGTTTTGGGCAACTGGACAGTTGTGGAGTGGCTGTGGGTTGGGTTTGTATTGCGTTTGAGTTGCAACCAACTTGTTGCGATGCATTTTGCATATCGCAGCATGCTGTTACCACCCTCTTGCGTAAAGATTTGCAGGGGAAGGAATAATCGTGGACCGTCGCCGCATGACTTCCGGCATCGTAGCAGTTGGGTGAGAAGTATGCTTCGCACTGTTTTCTGTTCAGAGCGTCGCATCACGCGATCCTTCACAAATGCTGTCAGAAGAGGAATCGGTAAAGGCAAAAGGCGATCCCCGCTCTCATTCCAAGTGGAAGAGGGCTGCTTTTCGCGCCGTAACCTTGCATGCCGATATGCTCTTAATCATGACGGCAGTAGATCCAACAGGCACTGGATGTGTCGGGTCTAAGGGACACGCAAGCGCCATTTTCTTTTTCACATTCCGATTTAAAAAAAGATGCCTTTCGTGCCTCTGACTGGGTATGTCGGATCGAAAGGAAACGCGTGACGCGCCCACTCGGCTGCCACACTCCGAGTGGAACGAGGATGCCCTTCGCCCGTCTACCCACCGCATGGAGGCAGTTCTACCCAACAACGATGGCAGCAAACCCAAAATGCAGAAAAGGTGTATTGAACAAAGGTTTCAGGAAGTTCTAACAGTAACATTGCAAATCACAGATCCCAGGACATGGAAAGCAACAGCACTGTGCGCGGTAGCCCAAACAAGTAATCTCTCAAGTTTCACATTATTTCTGAGTTTGCAGGTGTCCCATGCGGAGCTCCGAAATGCGACGTGGAGAAGGCTGACTCTGCAGTATGCAGCGGTAGCAATAATGAAGCCTTGTTGTAAGCTCTGGCTCTTGCCCTATCCGAAGGCTTACAAGGCCAAAGCCCTCGAGATGCACCCTGACAAGGGCGGCGATGCAGACGAGTTCAAAGCACTCCTGGACGCGAAGACCTTCCTGTTGTCAGATCGAAAACGCGTCAGCTCTGCGGTGCCAGTGGAGGACACGCCCATCGCACAAGTGACACATCCATGTCTTGTTGCTGCGCCCCCGCGCCATGGCTCGCTGCAAGAACGCAGGCAAGACAGCAAGATGCGGGCAGCGGCCTTTGCTGCACTCAGAGCGGACATTCGGGCAGCCACGAATCAAGGCATGCGCGTCCATTGCGTTGGACACCGCTGTTGAAATCCATACTGTTCTTTGAATCCCGGTGGAGCCATTTTCCGAGCGCAGGCAACCCAAGCGGAAGTGCAAAGTGCAGGGCGAAAGAGAAAGCGCAGCAAAAGGCCCAAGACCTTGCAGCTTGGCGCGCGGCCAAAGCGCAGGCAGCTTGCCGTGAGTTTGATTTGGCAGTTGAAGTTTGTGATGCGTCCAGCTTGATTGGTGTAGTGGCAAAGGCGATGTCACCAAAACTGTGCTTGCACAGGCGTTGTATTATGATGTTTGTACGTGCAGTCTGAGGGTCTGTCTGTTAGTAATTGGATTAGTTGCCACGTTTGAGACTTTTTGACCACATGGAGCGCAGAGGTCAGTTGGAGCTGGTTGACGACCATGCCAACAGCCACAAGCGCAAAGCATCTCGGCTCATCCAAAGGATAGCTGACGGCGACAAGGGCCGGTGTAAGATTGCTGGCTTCTCGGACGGTGTGGTTGGTGTTTGGGGTTCGGCTTTGCTTTTCGTTCAGGGACTTGGGCACATGCCCCCATGGCTGCAGCTACTGCTATGGATTTGTGCCCGCCGCGAGGGCACAACAAGATTTCGAGAACGGCCTGGTGGAGGCACCAAGATCTGCTGCATAAATGTATTTCTGACCTTGCTATGGAACTGCTGTGTGAGAAGTGGCGAGAGCTCCCGCCCTCAGCCAAGCAATCATTGCAAAACCTGTATGGAAGCAGCTGGCTTTGGGAAGCTCCTTTCAGTATCTGGATGGATTGCTGGACACTGTTACAACCTAATCAACGTGTTCGGCTTATTTCCAATACCTACTTTCTCAATGAAGAGTTTGCCCACTGCATGGTTGAATGCGCGTACGCAGCACAGATTGGAAAGATTGATGATCTTGCTAACATGGATTAATTCAGGTGCTCCTCTGAGGTTGGAGTATATCTTGCGAGCCTTAGAAGGGGCCCGACGATTGATGCTTCGAAGCCTGCGAGTACCACCTGGTACAGATCCGGCCCTCCTGGCGAGACTTGCCGGTCTGCTATGCACTTTTCTGTCTGAAGCTTTGCTCTGCAGCCGAATCCAACTTTTCTTGCAGCCGCTTGTTCGCACAGCTTGTTTGACTGCAGCCCCACTCTGGCAGATAATTACCTTTCTCTGCTACCAATGCCGGGGCCCAAAAGGCCGGACGAAGGTGAATCTGAGCCACCTCGTTCGAGAAGTCCGAGGACTCGGCTCCTGCATAGACCACGGTATTTGCAGCCGGAACCTTCTCCGCCTGATGCACCGCCTAGTGGTCCGCCTCCTCCGGTGCCTGTCCACTATGCTGCTGATGATGCTGCAACCCTTGCAGATGACTCACCCCCAAGCGGAACGGACTCTATGGATTCCGACGAGATCACCATTCGAGAGCTGGCTGAAGAAGCCCGGCGGCTTCGTGCGGAAAGGGGCCCAGCCAAACCCACGACAGCCTCTACACGGACGCATGCTGCCGCCAACACTCTACCAGCTCCCCGCGAGGATCATGAAAACTCGGAGTCTGAATGCCCGGCGGAGGACGACGAGATCGACGAGAACCCCTTCGACACATCCTCTAGACCGGAGGACGACCTTGCTGCAGCCAAAGCCACAGTCCCTGAAGATAGCAGTTCAGATGGTTTCAGCCCTCTCACCCCTGCTAGTGCTGATGGCCTCGGGTTTGAACCAGCCACTAAAGACTGAATGTACCTCCTCCTGTGCAAAGCCTTCGCTTCTCATGGATGCGTGGTGGAACTGGGAAAAACAGGTGCCGCTGCTGATTTGTATATCTGCCCTCTACCGGTACATGCAGTGCATCTACTACATTTGCCAGGTCTTCTACCACCTCCTTTCGGACATTCGGTACGGTGGCACTCTTAGAGTACCTGCAGCTTCTCCTACTACGCCCACGTCTCCTACAAAGCAGTGCCGCCTGGGTCCCAAGTCCCAGGGTGCCGGAAGCATTCGATGTTTACGCACACCACTTCTACTTTTGCTGTTGATAGCATGGATACCAGCAGCATGTGCCGGCACAGATGCGAGGGTTGATTCTGATTCCCGCCCGGTTTCTGGAGCCCTTCGGGGTGAACTTTTAGGTGGGAGCACCGCTTGCACGACTACTTTTCCGGCGCCATGCTCAGGCAGGCAACGAATTCGAAAACGAGCTTTTGCCCGAGCGCTTCGTCGAGCACGTTCCTCACAGGATGGAACAACCGTCTATCGAGGCCGAACTCTTCGTGCGCCCCAACATAGTGATCCACACCCAAAGCCCACCAGGCCCTCTGCAAAGACCACGTCCTCGCCTACAACGCGGCAGCGCTCCAGGCTTCGCACTTTCAGTCTGAATGTTGGTGGTCTTGACGCCACAACGTTTGATTGCCTTATGGCCTGGCTTCCTAATGCACCGTATGATATCATAGCTCTGCAGGAAATCCACCATGGTCTGGGGAAAGAGTCCTCACACTGGTCCTCGGCAGGTTGGACCTTCATAACCAGTGTCGATCCTTCCTCTAGATTTCAGGGCCTAGCCACGCTGGTTCGACAGGACTTCCAGGGTGCTGCGGAGATTCACCACAAGGAGATCAAACCAGGCCGTTTGCTACATGTACGCCTCGCACGACCCGAATATCACATAGATGTGGTGAACTTTTATCAACAAGCTTATCAGCCAGACTCAGCGGGACACAATCTCTCCAAACGACACAGTCTGTGGGACAGCCTAAATGCCACTATACAACAACTGGCCAGGCGAAACATGCTGGTTCTGCTGGGCGACTTCAACTGCACCCCGATTTATGTCGCGGGACACATCGGATGCTCATTGTCCAGGGCTGAGCTCTACTCGGATGCTGCAGAATTTACCACCATCCTGGAAGCTAACCAGCTGGTTGTACTCAACACATGGTCTCGACGTCGCCTGCTTCCTACCTTTACAGGTCCTAGGCATCAGTCCATCATTGACTTTATCATCACCCGACAGGGACATGCAGATGCAGTGGCTCGACGTGCTCTACCCAAACGAGGCTTCACACTCAGTCCGTGGCGTCAAGGGGGCAAGCATCATCCGGTTGAGGCCACTCTCCCTCTACATCCAGGCTGGCAACGGGCCTCACCACGGCCGTCCACTCAGCCCAAAAGATCTTATGATAACTTGGCTCTCACGGCTGCCGTCCGAGATCGCACTCCGCAATATGAAGCCCTACGAGAAGCTTTCAGGTCCAAACTTGCGGCGGTACAAACCTCTGACCTTCAACAAATTAACGATATTCTACTCGATCTGGTTTGCAGGCTTTTTCCGCGAGCTCCTCCTCAACCACAGCTCCGGGCTTGGCAGACGTTGGAGGTGCAAACATCGGTAGCGGACATGTGGAGAGCACGGAGGCGAATGCAAAGATCGGCTGGCCACCCACCAGGCTCCTTTCGAGCATGCTTTCAAGCATGGCGACGACACCAGGAATTTCAGAAAGCCTATAAGGCCCTTCGCAAAAGGGGCCGAGAAGCTCGCAAAGCCGTCCTCGAGAACTACCTGGAACAGGCCCAGACTGCAGTTGCGCGGGGTGATCATGGCCTATTGCATCGCATTATTCGGCAAATGGCACCCAAAACCCGACATGCCCAGGTCCGTATACATGGTAAACAGGGCGAAATGCTCACCTATCAACAGGAGCAGCAGGCCATTGTTGAACATTTTGAGACTCTGTTTCTGTCTCGACAGACTGGATGCACACTGTCTGCAGCTCGACCTTCAGCACACTACGAGGTCAGCCCGCTTATGTTTCAGCAAGCCCTCGACTCGCTCAAGATGGGCAAGGCAGTACCTCCGGGCAGCGCTCCTACCAGTGCGGTACGTGCATGCTCGGACATGATCTCCACGATTGCTGCTCCTCAGGCCGAGACCTGTCTGAATGGGGCTGAGACGCCGTCTTTGTGGGCCGACTGTACTCTGGCACTCATCCCCAAGCCACACAAATCGGGGAAACGACCCGAAAACCTCCGACCTCTAGGACTACAAGATACTGGCGCAAAGGCCTATGCTAAGGTACTGAAGCAATTACTTTTACAAGAAGTCAGCTCCACCATAGCCGCTTTGCCTCTGTTTGCATATGTACCTGGTAAAAGCACAGACACTGCTATTTCGCGAGTGACGGCCCACTGCAGACAAGTCCGCTCTATGCATGAAGGGCAGCAGGCCACTGTGCATACACGTCGGGCCCAAATCAAACAGAAAGTGGCCATTGGCGGTATACAACTTGCAATCGATCTTTCAACCGCTTTTGATCGAGTACCTCGTGAACGGCTATATCAGGCATTGATTTGGGCAGGCGCCAGCGAAACATTGGCACGGACAATTATAGACCTGCATGAAGTTTGCAAGTACAGCATTAATCATCGTGGACGTCACAGTCACATCAACATGCGACGTGGAGTACGCCAAGGATGCACACTAGCTCCTTTGCTGTGGGTAGTGTACTCAGCCTATGTAGCTGATCATCTAGGTCAAGAATTGTCCCACACCTGGGTATCGCAACATCTGACACTGTACGCTGATGACACACATGCCAGCTGGCTAGTGAATTCATTGGGAGACCTTCGCTCAGCTCTGCAGGCCATACCTGTTATCTTTTCTGTATATCAACGATTTGGAATGCAGGTGAATCCACAGAAGTCTGGTATCATCCTGGGTGTCAAAGGCCTGCTAGGCAAATCTACTCTTGCACCCCATGTACATGGACCTCCAGATGCCCGACGGCTTGTGCTTGGCCCCCCGCATCAACAATTGATCATACCTATCAAGGATAGCCTGACCTATCTTGGTGTCAGTATCTCCTATGGCGGTTTCGAGGACACCACCCTGAATTACAGACTGGATGTGGCTCGTAATACCAGAGGCCGGCTCATTAAAATTCTACATGCTCGTAGATATCTTTCTGTTCGTAAGCGCCTCCAGCTTTACACACTGTGTGTCCGAACGGCGGCCTTATATGGTCTCATGCCGGTTGGCCTCACCGCCGCTGGGCTGAGAAGACTACATACCTTTGAGGTCAAACACGTTCGAGCTATTTCACGTAGCCCGGTGCATATCACACGGGAACCTACGGAGGCCCTGTACAAACGACTTGGCTTGATGCAACCCGGAGACTACCTGCTGAAGCTCTTGAAACATCGAACTCGCACCCTAACCAAACTCCAAGATCTGGCGGTAGCACAGTTTCAACAGCGAATAGAAGAACTCAAGCAACACCTCGCAGCTTTGAGACATGGTCTTCAGGAAGTCACGGCTACCCAAGTCTTTGCCTGCCCTACTTGTGGACAATACTTTGACACGCTGCCAGGGATGCGCTCTCATCACACCAAGACTCATGGATGGAGACTTCAGGTAGTCTCAGCTGGACCCGCCAAAAGATTGCATGGACTTCGCATACAAGACCATTGCACCAACAATATGCCTATTTGTCGACATTGTAACACAAAGCTCTCTACCTGGCATCAATTTCGTGTACATATACTTACCAGCTGTGTTGTGTTGCATTCTGACGCAAAGGGTGAAAGGCCTGCTTTGCAGTCCGCTGCGGGGCCCCAACCCGAGCCTGCTTTGCAGTTCGCTGCGGGGCTCACTGCTGAAGGTGCAACAGAAAACGCGCTCCTGGCTCCTTTTGAGCTACCTGAAGTGCAAGCCTTGCTTTCCACTAACCAGTGGAAGGACGTTCTCAACATCAGTGCGATGAAAGACACTCTTCGGCATCATTGCGTGCTTTGCGGTCAATGGGTAGCACGTGCACCAAGTTCCATGATTTTACATGTGCGAGCTATACATCCAGATTTGATGCTGTACTGGGACGATGCTATGGCTCACAGTTTGACCCTCGCAGAAGGACACGCTCGGCCCTGCAAAGCCTGTGGAGCGACACCCCGTGGGCGACACAGATGTCGTATCCTGCATCAGCTCTGCCTTATGTTACACTACTGGCGTGCCCTGCGACAGCTCAGGTCTGAATCAACCCATAATGGCCCACCAGGAGGAGACCTTTGGACCACAGGACCCCATGACCAGGGGACAGCTAGCGGCGGAGGAAGTGCGGGACATCTTGGGCGAGGCTATGGCGACAATGCAGCCCCGTCCACGGGAGGATGTGGATATGCCTGCAGCCCCAACTCTGGGGAAGAGAACGGAGGATCAACAGATCCGACCCACCAAGTTTTCCAAGCCAGCGGGGAAGGGGCAGGGCCAAGGGCAGTCACCTACCAAGGGACCGGCAGACGACAAGCAGAACAACCCCAGCCCACCAGCAAGCTCCTGGCAAAACCCCAGGGGATGGAAGGACCAGCAGCTGCAGCGCCGGCAAGGACAGGGCTGGAAGCAACAGGAGTGGGACGACGAATGGTACCACCACAGCGAGGTGAAGGAGTTACGCCAAATGGTGGAAGCTCTCCAGGAGCATGTGAGGCTCCTGGCGAGGATGGCCCTGCGGCACGAAGACGAGCTCTCACAAGCTCGCACAGAGCGCGACTTTCTTTTTACTTTCGAGCCGCCCACGATCGAGGCAGACTCCAACATGGTGAACATGCTGGGCCTCATGTTCAAGATGGCGGTCCTCTGGAAGGAGAAGAAGGAGAAAGGGGAGGTGGACTCCTCTCTCAGGCTTGTTCTGTTCCTGGGCCTGCTTCGCCAATGGACGAAGCAAATCACCACCAACCTCGAGCAGCCGGAGGACTTGGAGCAACTGGCCAAGCTAAAGCTTCTTCGCCAGAAGGATGCCGGGCAGGGCATGGAGTGACCATATCTACGATGGAATCAGGAACGCCAGATGCTGGAAGAGTCGCAAACCCCGGCTCTGGATCACAAGGAGCTGATGACAGCTCTGGCTACCTTGGAGTCGTCCATCACAGCCCCGGGAGCCCTTCTTCGCTTCCATGCAACGCGACGGCTTGTGGAGCAGCACCAGTCCCCGGTCACGTTCCTGGTGACGATCGGGATGCGGGACCCAAAGTCCCTACTCTGCCACCGCGCTCTGTGCTCGCTATGCTTCAACGCCAGCAGCCAACTGTTGAAATTCCGAGTCCGCCCAGCCAGGATGGAACGTCAGCCGCTAGCCCGGGTGCTTGCCGAGCAATTCCCACCGCCCACGGAGCATCCAATGGGCCGCGGACGGAACTACAGAAAGCCCCCATCGAATCGCCCCAGCCCGGCACGCGAAATGCCACCGAAGCACCCAGCCGTGCCGATCGCGAAAGAGGGGGACCAGACGGAACAGAAGGAGGACACCACCTCCTAGAGTGGAGCTTGCAACAGGGATGCTCGAGGCCCATGCTTAGACTTCGCCTTCGCAATCCTCACAATCTCTGTTATGCAAATGCTACCATTAACATGTTCCTTTGGCATGGCATGGTACATGAGCGACAACTTGAACAGGCTGATACATATGGGCAACTTCGACATCCACTGGAGCGCCTACGTCAGGTTGGCAATGCTTGTTTGCAAGATATACCATTCTGGCTCACACTCTTGCAACAGTTTCAGACCTTTTTACACACTCGCTTTGATCGACAACAGGACGCTGTGGAGTTTTTGGGCTTTATGCTTGAATATGCTCGACCATCAGCCTATGCAGGCCTTTGGCAATCCAGATACCAATTTGGCCCGGCAGTTTGTGTTGCTGATTCAGGTCATCCCCTGCAGCCAATCACTCTGGAGCTGAATTCGCGAGGATTGCAGGCAAGCATCGTCGACTGGCATGTGCAACCACCTTTTCCTTATGCTTTTTGCCAGGCCCCTAGGATGCTCTTCTTTCAACTTAAGCGATGGGCTCAGAAAGATCCCAGACGACCAGCTCGTAAAGATCTCATGCCATTTCCATTTGAGGTTGGAGCGCCTATCGATCTGCCAATTTTTGAACGTGCCCAAGGCCTTCATGTGCAATGGCAACGATACAGACTTGTCACAGTGCTGGTGCATACTGGTATGCACCCATGGGCAGGTCACTACCGCTCCATTCTGAGTGGCTTTCGGCAGCTTCCCAATGGCGATACCACATGGATGACAATGCTTACGGATGATGGCAGAGAAGTTCGTTTATGCAGCAGTGCAGAGATGCAGCATGCCATATCCAACTGCTATCTGTTTGGCCTATGCCGTGATTCATGAATCTGCCAGGGAAGCGACAGTGGATCATAGCACAGTGATCGAGTTGACTTTAGTCTACATTCTCATTGTGCCGACAATCTTTCTCCTGTATGCATGCGCCGAACTTTTCTACAGCTTTACGTTTGTTGAGTGATCACTGCTAATGCCTTGCTTAGTCACTCGTGACGAAGGCAATAGTCTTTTAAGCTTTTGGATATCTGCTTGGCCGTACGCGGCGGGGTATCCACACGTTTTCTGTAACTATCGGAAATGTACATAGTACAGCCTCAAGCCGGGTATCAAAGTCTGATGCCTGTTTCCCGAGTTGCGGTCGCCAAGCGTCCATGCACCGGATGCTGCGAACTGAATGAATGAAAAAGCCACAAGCGCACATATCTGTAGCTTATTAGCATGTCCATAGACTTTGGCTTGCTGCTGCTCTGCACGCATACGCAATTGACTTCCTTTGGGAGGTTATGTCTCGAAAGCAGACAGCGAGCAAGAAGCCTGCGAAGGCAAGCACTGCAGATCTTCAGGTGAATGTGTCAGCCAGCTTGTAGGTTTGAGGAAAGGTAGCATGGTCTTCCAGTTATTTGCTTGGAATTCCAGGGTGAATTTGCGATTTGAGGAAGGACGGTTTCCATCAATATAGCAGCAGGCCATAAGCACTGGCCTTATCAGAGGCCAAGGGGGTCGTGCCGCGACAAAGGCTCGCAACATGGCCAGTCCGGATGCAACATGCCTATCCGATACTATCCGTATCAAAGCTACCCCATACTGCCTAGAGGGCGTTCTTGACACTTCCAGTTGACATCTCGCCAGTGGTTGTGGTAATTAGGCTGGGATTTCACATTTCTGGTACGGATCTTGTGGGTGACGCTGGCCCGCATAGCACGCTGGGAGTTTATGACCGAGGTTGCGCGCAGTTGGTTCCCGGCCGTTATGAACTCGAGTCGCTGTATGCTGCGGTATGATCGTAGTATTGGATTTTGCTGGGAAGTGAGGTTCATGGTTCCGGGGTTCCAACAATTTTGCAAACATCGTGGTGGTTGGGCTTTGGGTTCTCAACCCCTGCGAATCTCGTGATATTTGGGTTTTAAGTACTGGAAAACGGTGCTTGGGCTTCGTGAAGATTATGCCATGACCTACGGCTGGAAGCTGGGGTAGATAAGAATGCGCGCGATTCTAGCGGGCTCACAGCTTGCATCCAGAAGCTGGAACAACGAGATCGCGCAGCGTTGCGGGAGCAATAGGTTATCAATATCGCTCTAGATCACATAAATCATCAAGGATTCTCTGTGTTTTTCTTTGTATTGGTTTCTTTGTGAAGACCCCATTCATAGTGAATAAGGCAGGAAGGGAGAGGTAGGGGGGGTACGGGCTGCCACACAGATACGGTATGTAGCACAGAAGCACACGCAGCATCGTTGCGCACACAAGTTTCCCTGTATAGATTGGCAAGAAACAGAGGAAGGCAGTCAGGGGTTCCTGGATGCTTCAGGGCATGGGTTGTTAGATTTCCAACTTTTGAGCAAGGGACCGGAGGAGAGTGCGGATGAGGATAATGACCACCATCTTCGTCATCATCATCACCATCATATTCATCACCATCATTGGCTTTGGAGCTCAGGGCAGGTCGGAGTTCAATAGACCTGTATCACATCCTACGGTCATAGACGGGGGCGCAGCCGACCGCAACCAAGGGGCAGGGGGGGAACCCACACCACAGGGAACCACAGGGGGGGAGGGGGGTATACCATGGGGTGGGGGGGGGAGGGGGGGCCTAGCAGCGCTGCACCATTTATGCAGTCATGCCTGCGTGCGTGCACACATACGTACGCACACACAGACGCAATGTGTTTTTTGTATTCAAAACATGTATATACATATATTGTACAATCATTTAACAGATACATATGTACATACATGCATCACGAATAGAGGCAATGATACAAACAGGAATACAAAAGGTCTAGATTCACAAGCGTCAGGAAGGGTAGATTTCCCTCCGTGCCGGAGAAGACTCAACTCTCTTGCTGCTCCTGTGCAGCGTCCTTGGCTCCGCTTTATCTGTGCCACGCGTGCAGGAGTGAACGATAAGAAGCCTGCTGGACGACGCAGAGAAAGAGCATTTCCCTAAACCCTAAACCCTGACTTTGGCAAACTGACCAAGCTCTGGCACTTGTTCTTCCAACGAGAGTTTCCCATAATCCCCTAAACCATCTGTTTGGTTGGAGTACTGGAAGCTGGCTGCGAGCTAGAGTAGTGGAGATACTGTGGACTATGTGGAGCCTTACCTGCCTCGTGCGAGTGTGAGCGTCGAAACCCTAAACCCTATGCCATAGGGCAAGTCCCCAAGATCCGCAATTCCCAGCCGCAAGCGCCAAGCCCCAAACCGAGAGCCGAAACCCTAGAACCCAGAGACTCAATTGAGGAATACCTAGGGTTCCTGGATCTTTGGGGGATTCTATATCCCTTAATTAAGGAATATATTCGAAACTATAGTAGGATCCCTGATGTGATTTAAAGTATAATCCTTAATTAAGGGATATTGGAGTCTCTGGGAAGCCTGAACCTTAACATTCTTGTCATAAACACAGTCAGCCCAAAAGAAAACCCTGAAATCTCCGATAAAATTGGAACGACACAGAGAAGATTAGCATGGCCCCTTCGCAAGGATGACACACACAAATCGAGAAGTGTACCAAGTGTACTGAAGCCTCTCTCCCCACCACTGCAGCCCCACAGCTTCGGAGCCTGGACTAGGGGGGAAGATGATGCCGTATTTCAATGCTCTGTTGTTTCTTTTGTTTTGCATGTGGAGTTCCGGAGGCCTTAAGAGGCAGAAGGCTTCTAAACCTTCCGGACCCATACACTTCCAGTTACACTTGCTGTTCACCGCAAGCAGAAGTCAGGAGCAGGAGCCCGGAATACCAAGCTCCAGACAACAATTCCTGAATGACAAGACCTCTACCCCAAATTCTGAACTTCAAACCTGAAGCCCTTCGACGACTTAATCCGAACTCCCTGAAGCCATTCTCCTTGACCCTGAGTTCCTATCAACCGGAAAGCCTCAAAAAGGACGAGCCGGGGGATAATGACCCATTGGGCATGAGCCTGCGGACGGCTTGGGGTCCCGAGGGGTTTCGTTGGGCTCTTCGGGTGAGGGTGGTTTCACGTATGGGGTTGGGGGTTCAGGGATTGTTCGGCCTCGGTCAGGATGATTGCAGGTCGTAGATGGCTAGACTTGAAAAAGCCAGTGGCAAAACGGGATTGTTCGGTGTTTATGGGCCTGCATGCAATTTTTTTTTGCAGGGGAAGCTGGATTTACAAGGTCATGGTGCAGGGTCTTGGGATTAGGGCTACGGTGTGTCCGGGATGGTGGGCTTGATTGGAGTTACGTGGGTCTATCTGGGCCCCTAGGAGTGTTACAGTGGGGTTTTGGGCAGTTTCGGTTCAGGGTCCGCGGCATGTTCATCAGGGTGTCGCGGTTTGCATGGTTTGCAATGTGTGTCAAGCATCAGTGGGCTTAGGCCTTCAGGGGTTCGGGCTTGTTGTTTCATTGTCGGCTTTGGGTTTTTGGGGCTTCGCATTTGCACTGGTACTACACTGGTTTCGCGGGCGCTAAAAAGGATTGAGACTTCAGGAGTCTCGGGGTCTATCATGCGTTGCTTCTTCTTGTTTATTCAGTTCATGCGCTTTTTGTCCTGTCGCCGGAAGCATGTCAGTATCGATTCAAAGAACAGATTCAGAGGCCGCGACGTGTCCCAGGGTTTTCGGAGGATTTTTGGCGTTTAGAATGGGCGGTGCGCAAGCTGCAGTTCCGGTGTTCACCATCGGCACAATCATGCCATTGCGGTTGTTATTATTGCGAGCCCCTAGACAAATTCATCCCTTCTACAACTTGAGCTCTCCGATGATGAAGTCTGGAACTTGGAAAGTCCAGGTCCAGCAGCAGCCGCGAGGTGCCTTTTTTTTTTTTGGGGGGGGGGGGGGCCTGGCTCAGGGTTTCAAGGGTTCCGGGCAGAAATTTGAGAAAGGGTCCAGGTTGGCTGAATACAAGGGTGCAGGACCGGTTTCGGGCGTTGTGGCGCGCGGGTTTCACGTGAGGGCTGCCGGGTTGCAGCAGTTGAGGCTTTTCTGCGGGGAGCTTCAGGGCTTCAGGTCTTCAGTCTTCGGATTTTCAGAGTTAGCAAGCCTGGAGGCCTGGGGTGTCACCGTAAGGGCCAGAGCCCGGCTGGAAGTGTCGTATAGAGTATAGAGGTCCGAGCAATCAGAGGTGGTATCCCGATCATCATAAACAGCAAGAGTATGCCCCGAGACCATGTTCCAGTCATTAGTAGCCCCTTGTTAGCTGCCGATTCCCAGCTGATGATGGAACAGAGCCTGGGTTCAAAAAAAAGTAGCCTTGTTTGAAGCCCCTTCCTAAACCCTAAACCCTAAACCCTAAACCCTAAACCCCCTAAACCTTGTTTGAAGCCCCGATCAGGCGGGAAAAACGTCCCCACACTCAGCAGTCCGCCCATCAACGGCCGTGCCGGGCTCGGGCTCGCTTTGGAGCCTCAGGGAAAGCTCTGGACACAGCTGGGGCTGAGGATGTCAGCATGTAACCCCAAACCTCGCACCCGAACCATATGGGAGTTTCCGAAAATAGGGGACCCTAATATAGTACCCTAAATAATAGGATCCTTATAATAAGGACCCCAAAATAAGGTACCGCCTCGCCTGGATTGTGCGAGTGTGAGCGCCGAAACCCTTCACCCAGAGCGGCACAGAGCGCGGATGCTCTCTGGGCTTCAGCCCTCAACCTCAAAACCCGAACTGTGAACCTGTGAGTTTCGACCGGAGAGATGCCAGCTTGAAAACTTGAGAGAGCGAGAGGGGAAGACGCGGCAACGCAGTGGCAGGAGATTTTTGTGTTTTGTAGTGGCGCGTGCGTCGCACTTCACTTCGGAGAGCCTGCAGGGACGACAAGAAGCGACAAGCCTTTATAATTAGAGTACGATTTGTGGGGTACCTTA